ATGAGCCTCTTTAACCAAGTAACAAGCGATAGGACAAGAGGGAATGGCCTCAAGTTGCACCAGGGAAGGTTTAGACGGATATTTGGAAGCATTTCTTTCCAGAAGGGGTTGTTAGGCGTTGGAATGGGCTGCCCAGGGAGGTCGTGGAGTCCCCATCCCTGGGGGTGTTTGAGTCAGGTTGACATAGCACTAAGGGATATGGTATAGTTGGGAACTGTCAGTGTTAGGTTAATGGTTGGACTGGATGACCCTCGAGGTCTTTTCCAACCTAGATGATTCTGTGATTCTGTGATAATCTCAGCACTAGTCCAGCACTTTTCTGCTCAGAGTGGCTTGGACTGATCTCCAAGGAAAGCTCTAGGGGACTTTTATTCCATAACCTGCAGGATTCCTTCATCTACGCTGATGGCCATATACTTCTGCTATAAAAGTGATTGCAGGCTGCTTCTCAAACATCTCCACCTGCACCTGTCTTGTTTATCTGCTGCCATCATTTTACCCTTGTATTATTCCTTCTTCTTCTTGCAGCTCCACTCCCCTACCATGAACCAGCAGTACATATCTGTCCCCTTGTGGTCATATGCCTGCCATAGGCTGCTGTTTCATAGGATCCCTTTAGGCTGACCAAAACCTTTCTGCTCTTTCTCCTCCCCACACAAGAGCATACCTACCATCCTACCTCAGCAGCTCCAGAAAACCACCTAAAAAGGGTATGAAGCATCTTCAACTGTCTGCAGCAGTCTTAAAGACTTTCACAAGAAAGTTAAATGTTCCTCGGCATCTGCTGAACTTCACAGAATGCTCTAAAAGTCTGATCACACCCTGGCTCGAGGTGAGGTGTGTAGCACAGGAGGAGGCCGCCAGGGCTAAGGGACAGAAAGCAGCAGCAGAGCAAGAGCATGGACAGATTTCTCCAGCAGCCCTATGCAACCCGGAGCTAGACTTGAAACTTTGCTGGATGAAGAACAGGGCTGGCCACAGAGATTTTGCTGCAGATAAGTGATCTGTGAAAGATCAAGGTGAGAAAGATATTGATAATGACAGCAAATTTAAGGGCGCATGGGGAGGCTAAGAAATAACAAATAACTTCAGAGAAGGGTTGAGAATTGTCTGTCAGTACTGTATTTCTGCTTGTCCTTTAGGATGTCTGTTAACTGTAAGGCTCTGACCCCCTCTAAGGGCAAGAAGCCAGCCAGAGTAGCTGCCCATACCAGTTTATACTGCTACTTTATAATTTATACTGCACATTTTTACATTGTTACTGCAGTATGAAGGATACACAGAGAAATGCTTTGAAATACTTGTCTTAGTGCTTCTTACTTCTTCACTGTACCAGCTTGAGCTCAAGAGGAGTCTGGCCATCAAAGTGAAGGTTACAGACTGCAGACACTCCCTGTTGGGACCAGAGGTGGCTCTTCCATCTGCCCAGATTTACAGCCCCATTTGCAAGGCTCTCCTTACAGCCCTGCCATGGCCCACACAGCTGCTATGGTCATGCTCTTCCTCACTGTACAAAAACATGACCAGAGGGGGAAAGGGCTGAGTCAGCTCAGCTGGTGTGCTGCTGCCTTCCTCCTCACAACTGAGGAAGGTCTTCCAGCACCCCAGTTACCACCGTACATCTCTTTTGTAATCAGAACTCCAGCGCACAGCCTGATGAGCGGTAGAACATCCCAGCCAGCGAGGGTCATGGCTGAGGAGGGGACTGGGCAACCGATGGGGACACAGATAGCATGCACCAGCGTGAGCATGCCCAGACCTAGGCAGCCCTCGGCAGTGGGCTCTGCTGCCCACAGCACACGGGCAGAGGTTGCCTGCACCGCCTGGCAGGAACAATTGCCCCCAGCAGGCAGCATCCCAATTTTGGAAGGGGAAACTAAGTTTATTCTTCTGGAATGAATTCAGACCTCTCAATGAACGCTCTAAAGAGCATTTGTCACTACTAAGGTCACTAGCAAGAATATTTTCTAGATCCTTTTCCAGATTAAATTAGTGTCCTATTTAAAAATAATATTAATAGTAAATTGAATGTTTGGTTTATAACCAAGCACACATCTTCACCACCCAAAACAATAACATTCAATGTATGGGGAAAAAAAACCCACCTATGTACATTTACATACCTAGGGACCGAATCCTATTCAGCTCCCAGCTTAGTTAGTCTTCCTGCACTCCAGTCCCATCCCTAGCTTTACTAAAAGCTGTCTGAGTTGGTTTCTCTACCTGAGACCTCTTGGAAGTTTGGATCCCATTTGCCCACACTGCAATCTTATTTTTCTTGTTTCTCCCACTTACCAAAAGTGTAAGTAATGACAAGGGGGAAAAAAAAAAAAAAAAAAAGCAAGCATATCTCAACTGTTCTCTTTATTCTCTTCTGAAAAGAAGTGTTCTTCTTTGTCTCACGGCTCATTAGCTGACTTTAAAACTGTCAGAAGAGTCATCTATTTTGTTCAAGCAAATTGTCTTGTTCTGTAGATCTTTCATTTCTGACTCATGACTAATTATGAGTAAAATCTAATAAACTCATCCTCCTTTTCTTCCAGAAAAAAAAAAAAAAAAACAAAAAAAAACAACCAAAAAACACAAAAACATTGCTGTAGAGGATTCTTCCTTGTTTTGACAGAAGAAAAAAGCAATTTGAAATCTTCCATTTGAAAAGGATTAGGTTTGAACATTCTTTCCAATTTCTATTCTGGCAAGCTATCTTTTTTTTTTATTTTCCACATAGCTTTTTTTTAGTTAAAATCTATTATGACTTTGGTCATCCAGAATTCCCCCCCCTTGCACCATCATAATGAGCAAAATAATCCAGTAACTGAACAGCCCCAGGAAAATGTGGATGATGCACACAAAAGAAAATACAGAAAAGCAAGTAAACTGCTTTATACAGTAATAATGAACTCTAGGGCTACTTAAGTTGAAGAGTAATTTAATGTGATCTGTCTTTATGCTTCCTAATTCTAATTCAGCCTTTATACTTAATTTCTTTGAGATGTCATAGTTCTATCATGTTTCAAAGAACATATCAATTATATGATGTATAGACAAAAATTCAGTTGCATATATTTAAATACACTCCTAATATCATAACACTTATTTTTCTATTTGCTTTGTGATTTTATTATTACAATGTTTATGGTATGTAAATTATGTAATTTCAATATCTACAGTTGCAACATTTTAATTTGTTTTGTCCTTTTTTAACACTGCCAATCTGAAATAATGAAGTTGTCTTCATTGGCGCTGGTCCAGCTATTACTTGGAGAAAAAAAGATCTAGCCCTGTAAGTGTACCATTCTTTGATTTCATAGTTACTTTTCTCTTTAATATGTATTCTGTTGATAAATCAAGAATCCTTTACCACAATAAAAGAGTAATTATGAACAGCTAGCAAACTCAATCCCATATCTTTTATTAATAGAAAACTAGTAAAAATAATGTGCTGAAAGAGGGGTATCTGCTGACACAGCTTTAACACACACTTTCAGGTTTCTATCAGATCTGTCTTGTGTTGAATGCATCTTGGTTTAAATAAGAAGAAAATGTTTGAAAATGTTGAAAACATTCATAAGCCTTTTTTTTTTTTTTTTCCTAAAAGGTAGACTAAGTTCAGTGCTGTATGAAACAAACCTTAAAAAAAAAAAAAAAAATTGCAAGTCAGTTTAAACTTTGTTCAGAGCTTAATAAAATTACATGGGTCAAAAATCACCCGAACTTTGTTCATGTCAAATTACTTTTTTTTTTTTTTTTATTTGTTTTGGCTAAATGAACAAAGGTGTTACTGCTCTTCCAAAGTAAAGCAAATACAGGGAATATTAATAATAAGCTAAGAGGTCATATTCCTTGATAAACATTAGCATTAATATTTTTAAAAATATAGATCCACCATGTGAAAAAAAGAAAAAGGTATTAGAAAATCTTTATTCTACTTTCTGTTGGCTTAACACAGAAGACAGTAATCAGGCTTTACTACCAAGTTCATGTGAAAGCCTGCCTTCTCTGATGTAATTCGGAGAACTTTGCTGATGGCTTCTGTGGGGCTGGAACTTCACCGCTGGTGGTGGGGCAGCAGGATACAGAGCTGCTGAGCATGGCAGGAAATTTTAAGCCTCCTGGCAGACAGTAGGAAATCATCTCACAACCATGAAATATGCATACTTACTTTATAATTGGCACTCTTAGAGACTATTTCTTAAAGTTATGAATGTATTATCTGGGCTGAGTGGACCTAATTTTGTAATACAGTTTATTTAATGTGCAAAATATGGTAAAAAATGCTTCGTATAATATTTATTAACATGGATGAAGACTGGTTTTGTTGTTTAGTAATAACTCAAGCAGAAGTGCCTATAGAACCAGCAAAAGCTTTAAACTTGTATTCTCTCATGAAGAATTAGAAAATGATTATATCCTTTTCCACCCTCTAAATTCCCAAGACATCATGCCTAAAAATATTTACATTTCAATTTTTACCTTACTTTAAAATTGTGCTTTCCTAAGTTTAAGTCTGTATAATTTAATATTAGCATTTTCCTTTATTCCATTTATTAAACTGTACATGAATAACAATGTTTCATTATAAAACAAGAAAGGAAATTGATTTTAATCCAGATAGACACAGGAGTATAATAATATATGATTTACCACATCTCCTCAAATGAGTGATTTTGCAAAAGCTTGGGTGTTTTTTGGTTTTTTACCAACAAGTCACTGAGAAATGATTCTTCAGAGGCAAGTGAAATAAAACCAACCTATAATGCTTTGAGTCCCTAGCCAGATACCAAAATTACCACACTTCCTTGAAAAAGTCTCATTTTTCTTAAAATACTGTGCTCAGTTTTAGTGAGTGGGTTATCATTTGCTCAGATACTGTAGAAAGTCCACAAATAGCCAGACAAAAATAGGTAAATCTTTTTTACTGTTCTGCACATCCATACAAAATATATAATGAGAAGAGACAACTGAAAACACAGAATCATGTTTGAGTGTGCTATTAAAACAGATTTATTGTTCAAATTTCTTTTAAAAAATCAAGAAGTTTAATCACACTCAGAAAGGGTGATAGACAAGCAGCTTTTATGATTAACAGGTAGTTCTGGATACCTTGTCATTGCTTTTCTGAAAATAAAGACTAGTAATTCAACTATTTTCTGTAGTGCATAAGCATTTTAAAATAACTTTTTATTAACTCAAAAGAACTGCCACTATTTGACCTATGGATTAATTGCCCAAGGAATACAGAAGCTAGAAGAAAAATTTTCAAGGTATCATGACCAAGGGCAACATGCAATTTTACCAAATAGATCTACATCAGGCACATGACTGGACTCTGTGAAAGAGCCTTTGCTGAAAAAGTGTAACTTTGTTTTGGCACAAGAGCAGACTAAGGAAACAACATAAGAAAAAAATCCCTTGTCCCAAAATTGTGATAGTCCTCTGTCTAACTTCCAATCTTGGAGCTGAAGTCCTTATATGTAAAAATGCAGAGAGAGGTCTCATTTTGCAAGAACAGCAGCAGGACAACTACCACTTTATTTCATCCATCACCCAGAGATAAAAAGCACACGGAATGTCACTGAATCTGACATTCAATAGCGAGTACTTCCCAGAACTGTGAACTGACCTCGGGTGGCCCATGCCTTCAATGCATCTGCAGTGAAACTGGAGGGCTATACATTGTTCACATATTGACTGTTATTTTCATAGCAGAAGTATTACGTTGCCCAGGGATTTTCCCTTTGCTATTTCTAGGCTGCTGGCTTTATCCATTCAGTTGTCTCCCTGCTGAAACACTAAAAATCAGCCCAAGTCAGTATGTCCAGAGTAGGGAACAGAAATAAAAATCTGCTTTCTATGGACATCTAGCAGGTAGGGAAGCACAAGGGAAAATTTTACTTTGTTTTGTCTCCTTATAAAACCTGTGTTTCAGTGAAGAAACTGTACATTTCTTTGTGAGTGCTCCTCTGGTGCCCTTGCCACTTCTTTGAGGCAGACACAGGGGAAGTAGTGGTGCTGATGAGAGTGAATCAACCCTTCAAGACGTGTAATGATTTCATAGTCAGGAAGAGCCAGGCTAGCAATGTTGAGGCCCAGCATCCGTGAGACCACCTCTCGGAAATCTGCCAGCTGCAAGAGCAAGTGGAAAGGAATTAAAATAAATACCAAGCAAAGGAGATGCCTGGAAAACATACACATATATGCATACATAAAAATACAAGCATTTGTATTAGTGGTGCAAAATATAGGAATTTCTGCTGTTGCTCAATACAAAGAAGTTGAAGATGATGGAAACAGCCTTCTGGTGTGTACCTCAAATAACAAAACACATAAACAGCTGAGGTGCTAAGGATCTTGAACACCAAACAGAGTTTCATGTGTTCTTTAGTATTCTTCACAGGATACTAAATATCTTCCCTGCTGACTCAACAGCAAAAACTGAGGAAAGAACAGGAAGAGCTCTACTTGACCTAGATGACTGCAAACTACACAGGCAACTGGAAACTCTGGTGGGTGCAGCCCACAACAGAGGCAAAGGTCGTGGTCCCGATCTCAAACTCCTGACCACTTCCTGCCACCGTTCACCTTCACCCTGCACTTCCTTGTGGAAACCGCTGTAGAAAGGAGGAAGTTAGAAGAAGGGTGGAGGTTTGGCACATCCTTCAGTCTGACTTTGACTTGAAATCAGGATGCAGCCAAAATTCAAGATGCAGCCTGGGAAATGTTCATTTTCCTTCTGTGCCTAGGTGCTGAAAATATATCACAGAAAGGGTATTTGGCAAAATAATTAAAGAAATCAGGTTTCTCTCTGCAATTCCAAATGGACAGACATCCACAAGTAATTGTGATCACTAGTGACCTGCCAGTAACTAAATTAAAAACTTAAGACCAGATGAACATGAATGCTGATTTACTCAGCTCACAATATGGATCATTATAAGTCAAACATCAATGCCTCTTCAATGGCCAATGCATTACACAGCCCATATGACCAATGCCTTAATACCCCTTATCATCAACACACAATTAAAAGAGGAAAATGTTCCTATTGGAGGATATATGCTTGTCTTGGTATTTGATTGTCCAGCTCCCCATTCCCAAGCATGACAGATTCAAAATGTCACAAAAACATCAAAACCATCAAGAAGCCAGATTTGTGCTCTGGTGTGGCAGCACTCACTCCATCAATCAAGTTGACAGCTAATGGTGAGGAGATAAATGAACTCCTGAAATAGAGATAAAAGCACTCCTGAAATACATCTCCAACCCTAGGAATAGTGTGGAGAACTCTAAAGCAGTTATAACATTTGTGAGGCAAGCTGCAAAAACCCTGAAAACAAGGTCTCAGTTCCAAGACTTTGCCAAAGAGTGTGTTTCATCCCAGTACACACCCTAAGGAGCTGCCATCAGTTCAAAAAAACAAACATGGAAACCAAGACAGCATAGGGCAGAAGGATTGGAGAATTCAGTCTCAGCTCTCTGTCTTGGATGAAACACTGGAACAATGTAACACCAAAAACCCCCAAATTCCCATATCTTCTCTTCAACACCAACTCAGGTGGCCATTGATATGGGGCTCTGGCAGTGTGCTGGGCAAGGACAATTTAGCAGACGCTTAAGATTTTTTTTATACATCTGGATCACAGACAGAATAAGCAGGCAGCAGAGCTGGAATTTGTTTCCATGCAGACTTTATGTTAAAAGATCAAGGCAACACTCTTCAAAGATCCAGTCTTTGGATGAACTAAATCCCCACAGGACATCTATACAGCAAACCCAAGTGGTCCCCTGGGAGCACAGTGGGGTCTGCGCTTTGCACTGAATTTCTTGCTCTCCCATCTTTCCTATTGCAGGCTGTTCGATTTAATTACAGCAACTGTGAGTACATCAAATTGTACTACAACCATGTATCAAATGCAATCAAATTAAATTTGATGCACTGATACAGATTATTGATCAGCAGGATTTTGCCAGAAGGAATAGATACAAATTAAAATGTATAAACAATCATATCACTGTTTTCTGATACAAAAAGTAGGTCATACCTATACTGAATGTGCAATTAATATGCTAAGAATTCAGTAACTTTAATCAGCCAATAACCTAAACTGGAAAGTACATGGAGCTCCTAAAGAAATCCTTTAAGCCATTCATTTATATGAATTTTAAATTGAGGGTTTTTTTCCACTTTAATGTAATAACACTTAGACAAAAAACAACTTTTCTGAATATTATATTGTGGCATATAAAGTACAGTGCAGATCAAGCTGTAGTTCAGTGAAAATACAGAAGGACTGATGACAAAGATAAATTCTCCACGTAAATTGGCAAAGAGAACCATCACTCTTGGATGCAAAAATGCCCCACCAGAACTTAAAATTCAATCTGAATTTTAAAAAATCCAAACAAAAGCGACAGATTATACACTCTGGACAATCTTTAGAATGTCTCACATGGAGAAAGATGCATGTTTATACTCTTAAATGGATACAGAGCTGTAAGCACATCATGAACAACTTTCTAAAATCTTGCACTAAAACATGTAAGTTCTAGATAAACATTAAACAAGAAATGTGTTTCAGCTTTAAAACCAATGCAGTGGAGGTACTAAGAACACAACAATTCTGCTGAAATACTAGAAGATAATAGAAGTACCATTTAACTCTATTTAAGGCTTTCTTCAATAGCAGTTAATATTTCTAAGGTAGACACAATCTGAAGTAAAATTATCTGAAGTAAAAGGAAAGTAATGCAATTTAGAACATTAACCCAAGATATAAGAGAGGGGAGCAGAAGTAAAAAACAAGACACTACATTCTGGTTTTATGCTGTACCTGCACAAAAGTAGAAGGGGTCTTATTCCAATAGAAGAAAAAAAAAAAAAAAAAAAAGGAAACTAAGACTGGGAAAAATCTCTATAACAAAAACATAAAAAACTTAACCAAAACATTGATATTTATAGTCTTACTCCAAGTACTACTGCAAATAAGGATAGTAGATAATCTCTAGTTGACTGCAGTGGTCATGTTATCATGTGAACATCCTTTTGTCATCGGTCATTATGCATACCCTTTGTCTAGTCTTATTAAAATGAATGTCAGCTATGTTGATATTTATTTATATTCAGAAATACGCAAGAATGAAATATGAAATCAGGAAGGATTTTTTTTCACTCCACAGAGAGAGGAAGTCCAGCACGGATGTTTGTAAACTTACACTTACTCATAAAATTTCAATATATCCAACTAACTCCTCACTATATATCCATTCTAGTAATCTCTAGTGTTTTGACTCCACATATTGCTTTACCTCTCTATGGTTTTTACTCTACAGTATGATTTTATAATGCTTTAAACAGCATTTTTTAAACTGGTTTTATATGTCTGTTCAAGAATATGCACTCTTTGCTGTTATTTGCTATAGCCACCAAAACTGACTGTTAATCAATCCTAAAGCAGACTGGCAGTGTTATTACACCCTGCTTACAGGTCTTCACTTCTGAAAATTCAGATGCTTTGATTCTGTGCAGTCTCTTAAAAAAAAAAAAAAAAAAAAAGGGAAAAAGGAAAAAAGGAACAAGACACAAATGCCAAAGCTAAATTTTCCTCTTAAACTTAGTAGGAATTAACAGTCTAAAGAGCAAAGAACAACCAGAAACACTGTGTTAAATCCCAATTCTGAGTTAATTTTAAATTATTTCAATCTGATCTTAATTTCTGACTTCACTTGTGTATTTTCTGCCTGCCTTTATGATCAGAAGACAAATCAATGTCTTAACCAGTTGGCAGTAGTTCAATTCTGCATGGAAAACAGCCACAAAATATGATGATGTTATTTAACATTACACATAATGATATCCATGGCAAGCAGCAGAGTATACCTGAAAAAAACATGCAAATGCATGGTCAACCTGGTCACATCAACAACTCGACTGGGTAACAGCAATTTCAGTTTCTAGTAGTTTTCTTACAAATGCATACATACACAGGTTATATGGCTGTGCTTATATTCAGATTAAATTTATACACACGTGCTCAGAGAATAATTTAACATCTGCATTTGTTACCTTTTACAGAGAGTGAGGGAAGTCTAGTCTGGTTTACCCTCCCTGAGAAGGAAGACTGAGCGAGTCCAAAGCAGGTGAAAAACTACACAGGGATAGGGATAAGGAAGCAACTCTTCTTGGGTAATGGATCAGAAGAAGTCAGGAAAAAAACTCATGTGTTAATTAATGAGAAAGTTTAGAATTAATTCTCTTCCTTAGGAACAGTAGCTTTATTTTAAGGACAAATTTCAGCTAAGTAAACTGTTAAGATACAGGAGCATATGCTATGAATATTACTGGCAATTCTCATATTCTCAAAGTGCCGTTACTGCTGATCAGCACTGCACAATTACCAGGCACTGGTCTTGCCAACAGCTTTGCTCCCAGTTTAGCAGTATAGTTCCACCTGCAGGTATTTGAAATGTTCCTGTGCTGCAGACGATTGTGGATGATGGTGAATTATAAACTGAGATTTTCCGTTCACTAACCCAGACAGGTTGAGAACCAGTGCTATGCTGTGCTTAAGCATTATGCACTTTGTAGCCCACTTAACCTCATTTTTCCCATGTTCTTCAAATTTAGACAAAGAACACTGCTACAGTATTCAAGTGGCTTGAAGCCTTGGGTTTTGACAGTAAAAATTCAACATTTATGTGTTTTTAGCAACTAAAGTGTCACTCCATGGAATAATTTCCTGAATATAATTCATACCTCCTTCTGTGTGCGGGAAGCTTCCTTTCCTCATGAAACATACGAAGAAATTAAATTTTCCTGCCAAGTTTCTAACCTTCATTATAAAACAAAACAGTCCTAAAATTTCCCAGGAAGAAAGATCCCCAGGTTTTTTGTCTATCCTCCACGTGAGTAAAAAAAAAAATATTTCTGACTCATTTTTGGAATAGCATTCTTAAATTTCATCCAGAGCCATTGCTAAGGCCAGCATATAGAGTAAAAATTTTAGCTGGAAAAACTAACAAAGTTTGAAGCAGTTGGAATAAGGAATTTAAATTACATGCTTTTTACTGTAAAGAAGCATCCTATTGGCTTTAAACAATTATGCCATCTATAATGCTGCTACAAAACACAATATGCAGGCCAATTACTTACATACTTAACATTTTTTTTAATTAGAATGGAACACATTTACTAATGTGTTTCCCACAAACTCCTTACAGCCTCTCCAAGGTGAGTTACCACAAAAATCTTTCTTACCTAAAATTTAATAAAGTTATGTGTCACAAATCAATCCAAAATAATTACATTTAATATTAAGTCTGGTTTGGTTTGTTTTTTTAAAATTTCTGATCTTTTCCAACATTCTTTGAATTTATGACCTATACATGGTAACACAGAATTACAGAATAACTTAGGTTGGAAAAGACCTTTAAGATCATCAAGTCCAACCATTAACCTAGCACTGCTAAGTCTACCTCTAAACCATGTTCCTAAGTGCCATATCTACAGGTCTTCTGAATACCTCCAGGGATGGTGACTCAGCCACTTGCCTAGGCAGCCCAATCCAGTGTTTGACAACCGTTTTGGTGAATAAATATTTCCTAATATCCAATCTAAACCTCTCTTATAGCTCAACTTGAGGCCATTTCCTCTTGTCCTATCACTTAGCCTTGTTGAATCTCATGCAGTTGGCAAGGAGAAAGTGTGAGACAGAGGAAGAGAAATAAAAGGAAACGGATGAGGAGAAGTTGGTAAGCTTTATACCTAAGATATATGGAAAAAACATACCTTAAAAAGATTTTAAAAGGATTTTAAAGCATTTTTATACCTCTCAAAAAAGTGATATATTTTGCAATGAACAAAGAAAACAATGCCTATATTTATTATTCATCTTCTTGAATATATAACTTGAAGAATGGCTTTGCCTCTCAGAATCACAACTGCAAATCTGGCCCACATGTGTGAGCTAAAATTTCCTGTTTACTAATGTTCACAAAAGCTTTTAGCACAACTGGATAGCTGTTGCACCTGTACCACATTCTCATATTTTAAGTGACAGTTAGCGTTTGTCAAATACCTATACACCTACCTGTCTCTCTCTTTTTGCTAATTCTGCAAGGGTTGTTTTAAGCACCTTCATCTCACTGGTAACTGCTTCTAACATATTTTTGTTTTTCTCTTTATCTTCAGTAGCTTTACGCTCCTTTAAGAGAAGTTCTGATTTGACAGAGATAAGTTGTTTCTCAGCCTTTTCTTTCATTCTTTCCAATTTGCCTTGAGACTTACTGAGTTCTTCTATAGTTCTGTCCTGCTCCAAGGTTTTGATCTGCAATAACATTATGTTATATTTGTCACACTTTTTCATCTAACACGAACAAATAATAAAAATATCAGGAGTAATCCTGAGTAAGCACTTTAACGTGGTTTCTTGATGAAATCACATGTACAGGTGAACTGAAAAGTTATTAAAGGAGACTGGCCAATCTCAACTCAACTAGGAAAAAGATTTTTGTTTCAAAGACAGTTAATTCTCCACAGGTTTTGTGAATAGAGGTAGCTGGATAGACAAAAACCCACAGTGAGAGTTCATTCTCTGCTAGCCCCTGAAAAAGTAAAAAAAGTTGCCAAATGTTTTGCTGGTAAAAACTGTTCAGTTGGAACATGCACCTACTTATCTATTTCACTCCATCAGCCACAAGATATAAACTCACATAAAATCAATCTTCCTTTCTTCCAGTAGTAGCAAGCTATCAATGGCTGCAAACTACTTGTATTCACCTGAGTTAAAGCAGGTAATTTATTAGTGCTGCAATGTAATAAAATGGGAACAATGAAAATTTAGCATCTTGCCTGTTTTATGCAGAACCCCCCCCCCTTT